TAGCCTTTACACTAGAATCAGTAGCGAATAAAAACTGCGCTAGAACCTGCACATGACATGAAGAAAAGCATTTCAAGAATTTCCATTACTTTGTGTAACAACTACTTCGATTAATCTTTTTTAGAACTATTGAATACATCAATATCTCCAAAGAGCAACTTCGCCCTTTCCTCATCAACAATCTCCACATTCCGCGTAGGCAGGTATAGAAAGTTGTCTCTGAAAATAAAGAGCTACAAACTGAATCCAGCTTCTCAACCGAGACTCACCCTCCAAACCATGAAAACTTTATTACAGTGTCCTTTTTGCTGCCCGATACTTCAGTCAATGGCAGGACATCCGTTATTTCTAGGTATCTGCAACGGAGCACGATTGAGAGACGACAAAGAATTCGACAGCACAACACCGTACTTGTTCTTCCGAGATCCCCAAAACGTCAGATACCCAACTCTGACGTAATCGTTGCTTTCATTCATTGCAATGACTCCAATCAGTCGATTCAAGTACCTGAAGCAAACTTAGAAGATGTTTTGTTTGATGAGCATTCTAGAACTACACACCGGCTAAATACTGCCAAAGCAATTGGAGCGAATACAGCAACGAAAGCTGTCGAGTAGAAAAACGTAGCGTCAACATGTCCAAAGGCATACTGATAAGAAGAATACGGCAAGAAAAGCACACTAGCGACCGTTTGTAATAATTTCGCTCGAGCCAGCAGCACAGCGAAACGAATGCCTGGGTACCGATATACCGCAATCCTAAGATAAAGAGCAATGAATCGCTCCATGGTCAATAAATTTAAAAATTTCGTAGTAAGACGGTGAGGTATGTACCAATTTTCATTTGGCAAAGCTTCCTCAAGTAGTTTCTTTTCTCGTTCTATCTGTGCATGCGATCGTCTTATACTTGTACCGCCAATTCGCTGTAGCATCTACAATCGAACAAACATTGTATTCGAACGAACATTTTACAGTCAGAATAAAGCTTAGAAGTATGTCATATTAAAGTTTCTTGAACCCAGCGTGCAACAATAGTGCCATTTTCAGCTGTCTCACAAGGGAAGGATACCAGGTCGCAGTGACGAACCG